TCTCTCTCTCTCTCTCTCTCTCTCTCTCTCTCTCTCTCTCTCTCTCTCTCTCTCTCTCTCTCTCTCTCTCTCTCTCTCTCTCTCTCTCTCTCTCTCTCTCTCTCTCTCTCTCTCTCTCTCTCTCTCTCTCTCTCTCTGTCTCTCTCTCTATTAAAAGTTCAGCAAATGAAACAATGTTTACTCACAATAATTACAATAATATCATGTCATTAATCACAAATAATTATTGTAATTTACTGACAGTACCAATTGTCATTTGGTTTAATTTGATGTACTAAAATATCTAAAACTAAAAAATGAAATTAAAATATTAAAAACTATGCAAAAAATTACATACACAACAAGTTATTGAAACTTCAACTAAAAAAAAAAATATATATGTATATATACAGCATATAAACAAACATCTATAATAATATCTCAATACTAAAAAACATTTCTCAAAAGTGTATTGGTTACATAACTAAAATTATGTGATGTAATAACTTCCCAGCTCACAACAGACCTCTCTTCTCTGGCTGAGGACAGAATGCAGTGTTACAGGCCTGGGACATCACAGGCTTCATCTGCGGGACACAGCTGGAGGAGGGACGTCCATGAACGAGACACTGCACGGAGCGCACCTGAACGCCCCCTCCACACGACACCGTACACTGCAGACCACACAAAACACAACATCAAGCTCCCTGTACTTTCTGCTGAGCTCATGATGTCAGAAGGGTGTGGGATGAGGGAGACCTGCCTGAGACCACGGTGATGAGTACCAGTCTGGTCTGCTGTGAGGGGAGGCCATGGGACAGTCTGACAGGACACAGGTTCTCTGGAGCTCCATAGAAGGTTTGGGCACATGCTGACACTTTTTGGGTGACAGTTCTCTATACTTTCCTGCGACGTCCTTCTCTGCGCACTTCACGACACGCAGCTGAAGCCCCTTACCACACGACACTGAACACTGCAGAGAGAAAGAGAAAATATCACCGCCAATATCAAATCTGTTCGATCTGTTCATTGATCATGGTATTTTATTGCAGCGTTTGGAAGATTTTGGTATTAGGGGTACTGCCCTACATTGGTTTAAATCACATTTAAAAGATAGATCATTCTTGGTTTGCCTTGTAGATTTGTGTTCTACATCAGCTAAATTACATAGTGGTGTGCCACAGGGGTCTATACTTGGGCCTATTTTATTTTCATTATATATGGGCCCCTTGGGCTCAATTTTTCATAAATATAATATTCTCTCAATCCTTTGATGGACTTGTGCAGTGTTTAGGTGAGATTAGAGTCTGGTTGACAAGCAATTTTCTTCATCTTAATACTAATACGATTGAGTGTTTTGTCTTTGGACCCTCTTCTGCTTCCAAGGAAATTACTGTATAAGTAGGTTGGCCTCTATGATTTTAATTGTTTCAGATCATGTCAAGAATTTGGGTGTTATAATGGATTCGGATTTAGTTTTAGATAAACAGGTTACTAGTGTTGTGAAGGCTGCATAAATCACATTTAAAAGATAGATCATTCTTGGTTTGCCTTGTAGATTTGTGTTCTACATCAGCTAAATTACATAGTGGTGTGCCACAGGGGTCTATACTTGGGCCTATTTTATTTTCATTATATATGGGCCCCTTGGGCTCAATTTTTCATAAATATAATATTCTCTCAATCCTTTGATGGACTTGTGCAGTGTTTAGGTGAGATTAGAGTCTGGTTGACAAGCAATTTTCTTCATCTTAATACTAATACGATTGAGTGTGTTGTCTTTGGACCCTCTTCTGCTTCCAAGGAAATTACTGTATAAGTAGGTTGGCCTCTATGATTTTAATTGTTTCAGATCATGTCAAGAATTTGGGTGTTATAATGGATTCGGCTTTAGTTTTAGATAAACAGGTTACTAGTGTTGTGAAGGCTGCATTTTATCAACTCAGAATTATTTTTAAAATTACATCAGTTCTCTCTTCTCAGGACCTGGAGACGCATTGATTACTGTAATTCTTTATATATAGGTATTTCACAGGGTCAATTATCTCATCTTCAATTAGTACAAAATGCTACATTGCTTAGACTTTTGACTCGTACAAAGAGGAGGGAGAGAATTACCCCAGTTCTGGTTTCTTTACACTGGTTGCCTGTAAAATTTCGAAGTTATTTAAGGTTTAAGGTTCTGTTGAAGGTTTTTAAAGCCAAAAATATATGGTTGACCTTTTGATTCCTTATCAACATACAATAAATATGAGATCCTATGAGAAACTCCTTCCAATGCACATTAAATCTTCCCCATCTGTGGATGCTTTTAAGTCTAGATTGAAATCGTATCTTTTTCGTATAGCTTTTAAAATTGATTAGCGTGATCAGGATTTAATTTTTCATTTTTGTTTGTGAGACTGCATGTAATGATGCTGGAAAGCACTTTGGTCAACGGCAGCTGTTTTAAATGTGTTATAGAAATAAAATTTGTATTGTATTGTATTGTATGTTATGAAGGAACAACAAGGCACCAGTTGTTTAAAAATGGAACACATACTGTAACTGTAAATGTAAAATATAAAAGGCCTGCAATAGGATAAATCTGTCCTTAAGCAGATGCTTTTATTTAAAGTGACTAGAAGTGCTCTAATTAAAAGGGCAATCCTTTTGTGGCAGCGTGGGGTCGCAACTCCAAATATTTGCTTTCACAACACACCACCCCACCCCACTGTACCTCAATGCAATGCTAGTTTTCTGCGGAGGGTTTTACCGGTTGCCAGGTGGAGACGAACCACTGGGCCTTGCGCTGTTTGTGGCAGCGTTTGATCACGCAGGTCTCTTGGCTGCTGGGTTTGGGCAGAGCGGCACAGGAGGCATCCGGCAGCACGCGAGAGTAAGAGCCACTGCTCACACACGCCACCGCTCTCTTCATCACTCCCTTCCCACATTTACGAGAACACTGGGGGGAAAAATCCAATCGTAATGTAAGACAGTGTTACTCAGTGAAGTTTTAATTGTAGAATTAAAGGTGCAGTCAGTCATCATTTGCTTACATTCTTCTGGCCAGAGGATGCAGCATCACACGAAACAAAAGTGTTCAGTTACGGATGCAATTTTCAAAATGCACTATTCACAGTCAGTCACAATTAGCTTATTTTGTGAACATGTTGACCCCTATGAGGAAGGGTCATGACCACCATAGATACATTCATAGCAGTTTTTCTGCTGTACTCCATTACGCAGCGCTCTGTTTGTTGTTAGAATGACAAAAAGTTAAAAAAATTAAATTTTTAGGCTGCTCAAGATGTCTAACATCTAGATATGGCTAGGCGATTTTTCCAATTTTATCAATTAATTTTTATCGATTAAATATGCTTAACGTATCAAGCTGTTAGCTTAGCAGAATGTTGTTATGTAGAGCATTTCTGTCACTTTACATAGCCTACACTACTGTATGTAGACATATGATGCATTGTTGATTGCCACAGAGTTGTATGATTGAGCACTAACCTGCGACCAGGGTCCAGCGCTCCAGACCGGTGGGCAGCTGTGTGTGTTGCAGGTCTGTCTGTGAGACGGCGGTGGTTGTGCACACCGCTCATCGGTCACAGTGTCCACCTGCTCCGGGCCTGTTTTCTGGACACAGCGCACCTGTCTGATCTGCTCTCCGGATCCGCAGCTGCGGCTGCACACGCCCCAGCCCTCCACACGCCAGCTGTGGTGTACAGAAACACACACGCACACATAAGTGCACGACATCCGGAGGGAGTTATTTGTGTTTAAAGAATCACTAATATTTATCTCATGCCTAGAGTGCAACCCGAGCTTTCCCACTGCATTTCTTTTGCAAAGGCAATGAAATACTAGAGTCCTGCTGCATATTACATCATGCTCAGTATACTGTAAACTGCATAAAGATGACTGATTTTAAACATTATGACAAGCATTTTAACAGCGTTCTGGGTCTTAATTGCTAATAAAGGTTAAAGAGTTCAAAAGGCAATTTTGCATCATCTCTGAAAATGTATTCTAATTGAATTTTGTATAAAAATGCCTAAAGTATTCTCAGTTATTTACATAATTCAAGTGCATTGTGAATTTAGTATTATTTTTATACTATTATTTATTCATGTTCGGTATGAGCTTTCATTTTTACACTTTTCAGATTTTGTTTAATTTTTTTGCTTAGGTTTTAGTAATCTGTGTGCTTTTGTCATCTCATTTGACATATTCGTTTTTTATCTCTCGATATAGGTTACATTTTTTTTTTCAGTTTTTGTTTCTGTAATTTTAGTAATTCAACTCATTTCAGTTAGTTGCCAACACAACATTTATAATTTTCATTACATTTCTTTTTTTTTTTTTAATTTTCATTAAAGTTGAATTTATATTTAATTTTATCTTTATTTCATTAACATTTTTTTTAAGTTTATAATATATCTGGTCAAAAATGGTTCATTCATCACAAAGGAAATGAAGGATGGAGTTGAGTGCATTGCATTATGGAATACAATATTCTGAACATAATGAAACAGAAATATAATAGTATGGTAGTATTCTATTCTGAATGCAGTTACAGCATAGTTTCCCACAAGCCTCCCAACACTGAGACACCTTGATCATCAAGAGCAGATGGTTTCTTGACTTTCAGCAAAACCCACCAGTCAAAATATCAGCTCATAAAGGCCACAATTCACCCTAACGTCCCCAAACAACCTGAAATCCCCCGTCAGCACATTCAAACATCCTACAGGTTATTTCTCATAGCAGAGCCTCGTTGTTGTCTATTCTATGGACAACCACGTTCGAAAGGGGGGAATTTGTAGCGTCTGGACTACTCCAACACACAATATATATTTTGTTTGCTAGATTTCACAAATACTTTGTAACACCCCAGGACGCCGAACAAGACCCTGGTTTCATGGTAACCCGATACATTTACAACCTTGTGGAATGCGAGCCGGCTCTCATTCTGCTTTCTCCAGAAACAAAGGGACACAAATGCACAGGAGAAATGGACTTTTCTACTAATTAATTCATAGGAAAACCTTTCTTTGATTGAATACACATATCCTTCAGGTCATTGTGTATACCATTACTGTTCTTGTATATTGTCTGTTGTAATGTATGGTGTTTTATGCATGTTATGATAGACCACTAGTTAATATAACCTCACCTATTTCATGTCTAGTATCTATGAATTCGCTTTTTTATGATCGAAACAAGCGTGTATATTATATGGTGGTACATAGGCAATATATATTAGGGCCCTGAGAATCGTTAATAATTTCGATTTAAGTCCATTTGCAAATTACCATGCTTAGAGAACAAAGGGGTCGTAAACCCTCCAGCAATTGCCACCTCCCGCTCGGAAATTCCATTTTGCTCATTGGACAAGCCCATCTTGAAAGGCGGAGATCTTCTCCGACCTTAAAGGCCCGGCTCCAGGGACCCGCCCCAGTCGGTGGTTCGGTCTTCGGCTAAGAAGATGTGAGAAACGCTTCAGGATACCGAAGCATCTGTGCCAGGCCTTTTCTTCGGCCTAGTCCTTTCCATTCATCAAGTGACTCTGACTCAAACTGGTTCTTTCTCATCAACCAACTTCAGCAAGATCTACGGGAAGCTTTAAGATTTGCATCAGGAATCTCTTTCAGACCGCCGAGACTTGCTAAGTATCAAACTTAGTCTTATTAATTGATACATTAAGTATCAGTTACACCTTTTTGTGGTGTGTTTGGTGTGTTTGAACTCAGAATCTGACTTATCCCTGAAGGCTTTGATCTGTTGAATATACATGCAAAGTGTTCCATAAAATCCATTCTTTATGTCTCTTTCTATGCTGAGTTAAACTTTAACCCTTTCCTATACCAACTGTATGTGTGTGTGTGTGTGTGTGTATGTGTATGTTAGACCGGCTTAATGTGTTTATGTAATATGTTAGACTAGTTTAAGTGTTTATGTAGTTAATAAAACCTTACTTGTATCACACTTGACGTTGTTCATTGTTTGCTCATAACCGGAGTCACTGATCATGCAGATTTACGTTAAAAGCTTATAGAATTGTACAGTAAGAAAGTTATTTCCCTTAACCAGGAAATTAACGTCTTAGAATTGACAAGACAGTTGACCCTGAGTGGTCAGCTAAATATCTACAGTGGATCTAAAATATGAATAGTTAATTATAACTAGTTATGGTTAATTATTCATATTTCCCCATGAGCTGATTCGCTACAATGCCTTATTCTGCATGACCATGTTGTAGATCCCTTAATCCTTAAACCCATACCTAAACTTAATAACTACCTTACTGACTATTAATAAGCAGCACATTAGGAGTTTATTGAGGGATAACTCTTAGTTAATAGTGAATATGTGTTCCCTATTTAAAGTGTTACCACTAGTTTTAATACTGCAAGTATATTTATACAGTACTTATAATATACTATTTATATTTTTGCATGTTTCTTAAATACAAGTACAGGACAAACATACTTAGACTTTTCTGTATAAGCCAAGTATACTTAGTATATTTAGTTTTTAAAGTATACTAATAGCACACTTGAATAAACCTCTGCTTTTGTAAGGGAAGTGTCATTTATTGGGAAAAAAGACAAAAAACCCTCTACAATCAAAACATTTGATAAAGATGATTTTTTTTTTTTCTCAAGTACTTAGTCAACGTTTTGAACGAATGCTGACAACGAAGACAGTATTGTGTTTGTTTGAGGTTAGTGGCCGATGTTGGTGATCAATGTGATTCTCTACACCTGTGTAAACTTGAGCAGAGCCGATTTCATACAGCCACTAAAATCACCAAAGCACCTGCTTCAGACACATTTGCAGTTGGTTTAATATTTTGTATCTAATGCAATGCGTGTGAGTGTGTGTGTGTGTGCTGAGTTTGGAGGGTTTTTAACCTTGGTCTCAAATAAACCCAAAGAGTCTGAAGCCAAGCACACAGGACATCAGATAAACGTGATGCAATAAATGGTGTTTACAGAGGCCAGCTAATGAGGCAGAACAGCACAGCGTGAGAGCGAGAGAGAGAGAGAGAGAGAGAGAGAGAGAGAGAGAGAGAGAGAGAGAGAGAGAGAGAGAGCGTGACAGTACTGCTCACTGGCTGAGTTCTTGCCTGAAGCACCTGTTATAGTCGTGACACCATCATGCATTCATCAGGACACTGGAATAGACACCAGCAAATGTTTGGCTGCTGTTATAGCGGGGAGACACACAGAGTGACTCACTGCTGTGCTCCTGGACACCCAAAAGTGTCCCCCAACCCCAGATCATAATCTCCGAGTGTGAACGCAAATGTTTTTAGCTGCACAAGCTTGATTTCACACACAGCTGCCTTCCAGAATGCACTCAAGCACATGCTGCAGTTTCAGGGTTGCCACAAAGGGTCCCTTAAGAAGAACAAGTGTGTGCTTAATTGTAGTGAATGTGCACTTGTAGAGTACTTTAAACCTTAAAAGCATGTAAAACTAAAAAACTAAAAAATCTTGCAGATAATATAAAATGAATGAAACAAAAGGCAACTTAAGCGATTTCAAGAGAGACACTTTCATGACTGTTTCTTAACACACTTAAGTAGACTTTCAAAAAGTGCACTTTGTAATAATGTCAAAGTTTTACTTTAATGTACATTGTAAATCATTATGTTGTAATAATCTTATTTTGATGTGTTGACTAACATACTAAAGCACACGTCAAGTACTTGTTATTTGATATTACATTTAAAGTGAATATATTGTAAATGTATTAAATTGCAACATCATTACAAATGTGTAATTACAAATACATTTAAATACAAGTTGCAAAGGAAATGCCATTAGAGTATATTTTAGTTTACCATAAATGCTTGTCAGTTCATTCAGCAGTAACACTTTAACCATATTTCAAAGACAATAGAAGTAATTATGAAATTACAAAATGCGCTTAAGTCTTGCTTGTATCAAAAAAACACTCTTAAAGTTTAGCTAACTGCATTTAATATAAATTTAAACTACAATACATTTTCATTTCAATTGCAAATAACATGCATTTAAGTGTCTGAAAACATTACATTCAGTTCGCACTTAAGTATATTCTTGTAAAGTATATAATTTCTGTATTAAGTCCCCTGTTAAAAGTATGTTAGAGTGCACTTCTTTTCACATGTGTCTCTAAAAACCTAATTTGGGAGATCAGACACTGGGACTGTGATGGTCTTCACCAAAAACACTGCATCTACAAACAACAATTGTTATACATGCAGGTATTGATCTATTTTCCTTTTACATTACTTTAACATTTGTGCTGGTTTTGGACGTCTTCTCTCTCTCTCTCTCTCTCTCTCTCTCTCTCTCCCCCCCCTCTCTCTCTCTCTCTCAGGGCAGGAAGCCCATGAGGACTCAATACTTGGACGGATCACTTTACAGGACCAAGTCAGCATTTTCTGGGAAGACTGACATAAGAGGACACAAGATCTCCAACTAGAAGATCATCTGTGTGCCAGAGCAGCCGCTTTTATCAGACGTATGCAGAGATAAACCAGCCGACTGAACTGACACGGGCGTCTATCTTACAAACATCCAACACTGCGCTCTCAACCGCATCTGAAGAAATGAGAGAGATGCTTGTTTGTGCTGAATGCATTGTGGGTGGTTGCCAGGGTGTTGCTATGGTTTTTAGAGTGGCCTTTAGAGAATTACTTTTGCAGTTTCTAGGGTGTTT